CAGACTCTGAAATAGGTGAAACGGAGGATGACAACTCTGATGCCAACGAGGATAACAAGAAACCTCTGCCCCGAAGACCGAAAAAACAGAGGAAAACTAGTGATGAGCCTGCCGACATTTTAACGCAACTTGCTCCTGTAGAAAAGGAAATAAGAACAAAGCCTGACTTTTTTCCTCTTGGATTCCCCCAGCTTGTTAATCTCCTGGGGGCCTATTCTCGAAATATTTCCGTGCGCGGAATCGACTTCGTTGACGGAACGCCTATATGATTCTTATACGCAATTCATCTACGCAGCCACTTCCGTGCACGGAAATATTTCGAGAATAGGCCCTCTGGAGAGAGCTAAATGTAAACAAGAAATGGTTGAAGTAGTGAAGTATTTCGAACTCAGTTTGGACCAAGTCTCTAGTACCCTCACTAAATTGTACCCATTTATGAGTTCTCATGGAATGAAGGCACGCTTTACAAGAGTTAAGAGTAAAATTATCAAGGAAAAAGAAACCATAGTCGCTAAGTCTATGATACCAGGCATACTTCTCAGGAGGTCGCTGACTTGGAGGAACTTGAGGAAACCTCCTCTAATAGGGATAAATCATCCCCTCGACCAGATTTGCAATAAATAAAACACCAAGCATTTTCCAATTGAATTGATGCATTTAATTTAGTAGAATTTAAATGGGTTCAGCGCCCGATTTACATTCATAAAAAATCTTCAAAACACATATAATCCAGATCTTTTCTGCTTCCAAGAGACTAATTTCAGCAAACCATCAGGAAATAAGTTGAGAGGGTATAAAAGCTGGTACCAAAACAGAGTTGACTGTGGTAGGGCGAGCGGAGGTATAACAATATATGTTAAAGAAGATATACCGAATGAGGAAATCCCTTTGATCACAACCCTTGAAGCTGTAGCAATCCGAGTGAAAATTCCCAACAAAATAACAATATGTAATGTATATCTCCCCAATAGCCAAACGCTAGACCTCCAAAGCCTGGAGGACTTGACCAAACAACTTCCCAATCCGTTTCTAATCGTTGGAAATTTCAATAGTTACAGTCCCTTCTGGGGCGATCCCTCATCCAGATCATGCAGCAGAGGAAAAATAGTTGAGAGATGGTTACTCGATGATGATCTGATTTTATTGAACTCCAACGATCCCACTCACTTCTGCTCAGCTAGCGGTTATCTTAGCTCTATAGATCTATCAGTATGCTCGGCTGACCTGGCCTCAAAAATCGAGTGGACCATGGATGAGTACCTTAATGACAGCGACCACTACCCAATTCACGTTCACTATACCCTCGATGTAGATACAAGAAACGAAGAGCCGTCCTCAATACAGGCAAATAAGCCAAAATGGAACTTCAAGAAAGCGGACTGGACAGGTTTGAGGAATACTCAGACTCACTGATAGATAACTTGGAAGATCCAGAACTCTCTTCATGATCCATTGATGAACTCCTCGAAGAGCTCACCTATCTAATCACTGAAGCAGCCAATCAAAAAATTCCACTGGTGTCTGGTAAGCTCAGAAAGAAACCGTTACCTTGGTGGAACGACAAATGCTCCGCAGATATCAAAGAATCCAAACATGCCTTCAACAGATATAAAAAACACAAACGTAATGAAGAACTTAAAATCGAACACAAAAGACTTCGAGCAAAAGCCAGAAGATCCATGAAAGAATCCTTTTTTATTTATATGAAAACCCTCATATATTCACTAAAAAAGCGACAAATGACAACCAGTGAAATTTGTAAAGCAATTGGCAGACTCAAAGGACAGAAATATTCAAAAATATCTCGAGTGTTGACAAATACTGAAGAGGAAAATGTCACCAACCCACCTGAAATTGCCAACCTTCTTGCAAAAACCTTTGCAGACAATTCTAGTGACTTAAACTACCACCCAGATTTCCTAGCTTTCAAAACCTCCCAAAAATCAGTTCGACCTTCCAGTGGGACAAAATTATAGAAATTCTTCCCAAAATTCACAATCACATGCACAACTCCTCAACCAAAGAATCACTTTAGGCATCAACTCCAACTTCAGCATTGATGAACTCAAATTCGCCTTATCGTCTTCAGGAAACTCCAGCCCTGGTCCAGATGGAATTCCAAACATTTTGATAAAAAATTTGAGCAACCACAGTCTTCAATATATCCTGAAACTATACAACATCATGTGGAATTCCCATACCTTTCCTCAAGGTTGGAGATTGGCTACCATTGTGCTAATCCCTAAACCCGGAAAAGATCACTCAAACCACTCAAACTACCGAACAATTGTCCTCACGTACAACCTTGGAAAATTTTTGGAAAAAATGGTAAATAGAAGATCGAAGTGGGCTCTCGAAGAAGAAAAATGGTTCTATGATCAACAAAGTGGATTTAGACAATTCCGATCAACCACAGACCACTTGACAAGTCCACAGCCTCATTTGTAATGCCTTCGCAAATGATCTCCACGTAGTTATGATTTCGATGGATATAGAGAAAGCATATGAAATGGTATGGAGAACTCGGATCATTGATATTATGGAAAAATTGGGATTCCACGGAAATCTCGTGGAATACATGAGAAATTTCCTCAAACATAGAAAAATTCAAGTACGAGTAGGAAATCACCTTTCCGACGAAACTGAAATAGAAAACGGAGTTCCTCAGGGCTCTGTCATTAGTGTGACTCTCTTCCTGATTGCCATTAATAATGTACTCTCCAGAATCCAAGCTCCGGTGAAAAAATTCCTGTTTGCGGATGACTTGACACTTCTATGTTCTGGAAAAAATCTGAGTACCACCCTCAACATTCTTCAGGGTAATTTAAATAGTTTGGTATCATGGTGTAAACAATCCGGATTCAAATTTTCTGCCCCAAAATCTCAATTTATGATAATGAGCAAATCCACGAGTATAGATACCTCCCAAGCACAACTTAAACTAGGAGACTCTGATCTAATCCAGACAGAGCCCATGAAGATTCTAGGATTAACCTTCGACCCTTCCCTGTCATGGAAAAGCCACGTAACCAATTTGAAAGTCAAATGCAACAAGAGGATTCAAGCTATTAAAGCTCTGGCTTCAAAAAATTTTGGAGGAGACCAACAAATACTTCGTGATTCCTATCAAGCAATAATTCGTTCAAATTTAGATTATGGGGCAATCATCTACGGATCAGCAAGACATAACCTTCTGGCAAAACTCGACCCCATCCAAACGACAGCACTACGTTTGGCTCTAGGAGCTATTCGTAGCAGCCTAAATGCAAGTATACTGATCGAAGCCCGAGAATAACCCCTACATCAGAGAAGAAAGGAACAGTACATAGCCTATATCCCTCTGTCCTTAAAAGACTCAGAAAACATAGTCAAACTAGAAGAAATCCCCCAATCATCCCTCAACCCAGTTTTCAAGGAAAAAATATTTCTCCCCCAACCAATTCTACTGAGAGCCACCCAGGCAATCCAGGAATTAGATTTTCCCCTTCTTAGTATCGTAAATAGAAGAAATCACTCTATTCCACCCTGGAATAACTTGACACTCGCAATTAACACTGAACTCCATGAAATGACTGATAGCAAAAACGAAACTTCGTCTACAGTGTATCCAAATCTCTTCAATGAGATGTTCACCAAATATCCAGACTACACGAAAATCTATACTGACGGATCTATATTGGAGGGGAATAGAGGCTGTGCAGTAATATTCAATGAAGAAAGCTCCATCTACCAACTCCTGGAAAGCTTTACGATATTTTCATGTGAGATGTTTGCAATAACAAGAGCAATTTTGCTAATAAAGCAATTCATACCAAAATGACCCACGAGCATCTCCTTTCCAGTGACAAATTGTGAAGTGTGCACAGTTTCTATCTCAATGGAACACATACTTCTGTCATGCTCCAAGTATGACAGATTTCGAATAGAGGCGGGACTAGCAGATAATTTAAAGGACTGTTTAAATGGTAAACACTGTTATCCCAAAATTGAGAAATTTCCGAAAGATACCAAGCTCATAAACAAGATCTAAAATGTATATTACTTGTAAATAATATTTCTCATTTAAAGCAGCCACTTTATGGCCACGAATATATAATCATTAATTTATTTATTCATTTTTTTTCTCTCTTTTATCTATTCATATTTCATTATGTTGTAATTTATTTTTTTCTATTTTTCGTAAATTGTCGCTAATGACCTCGTTGTCGTTGCGACAAAAAAATAAATGAAATTAAAAAAAAAAACATTTCTCAAGCTCGTGCTTGATCTTGTCTTGTTCATTTCCATTTTCGTTTTATGTTACAGAAAAACTGCGTTTTTTACTAAAGCAGGGAGTCATGTAGCATCTCACCTACAGACGCACACATTTACGCATTAGTGCACGGACACAACAACGTGCGTAGTTGAGACGACTGGACATTAGTGACATCATCGCTCTCTGTCACGCGCCAATAAAATGTATACTTCTCACTCGCACCTATTGTAACGCGTTTCCGAATTCTCGCCTTTTGCGAATATTATATTCAGTCCGGCACCGACCGCCGATAACTCAGGAGTGAACACCTACTCCTTACTTTATCTATCTTCATTTTTTGTATATAGTCTATGTCTTGTAAATATACTGTGATTGTTTTATAACTATCGCATTTGTTAGTGAATCGTTACATCCCTCAACAGCCTCGATTCCTACATCCCCCCCCCCCTCATTTGTCCTGCCAGACGTAAGGGAGGGCATATAATAACGACCTCTGTATGTCGGAAACCAATGATAATACTGATATATATGAATTCTCACATTAGTTTACGGAATATTAAAGGTAAATTGGCCTGAATTCCATCGGCACTGCGTTCCCCTCCTCCAACTCTACGGCACTTATTTGAACAATTTTGCTATTCCTTCTCTTTGCAAGGGATATTATGCCTAACAATTTCAAATAGGAAACTCTGTACGTACCCCTGAAGATGAATAATGGAAAATTCACGTAGTTTGTAAAACTTACCACACTCTGAGTATTACAGTCCTGCCCAGTCATTGTCAGATCGAGCCGGAAGAGATCGCTATTGCTGACGTCGATGTTACAAGTCTCAGAACGTCCCAGGGCGTAGATACGACCATTGAAAGGTTTGTTAGTACGTACTTGAACGGCAATACGTGTATCCTTGCAGTCGACACTGACTGTAAACGAAAAGCAATTTTATGATAATGCATCTGGGTTATTTAATCAGTCACATACGGTATCTTTTTGCTGCAAAGTCTAACATCAATTTAACCATCTGATGAGAATTTTCTATATATATAGGGACAGGCAACCGTGCTTCTTTACTCTGTGTGGTAGTGAGTGTTCTCGTCAGAAGATTAATATTACAAAGATTCGATAACTTATCATGGAAGAACAATGATGAAAAATGCATATAATTTAAGCTTTAGCATTCAGCTTTCAAATAATATTGTTGTGTATCCCCCTTCGAATTCCTAATTCTTTTGTCTATGATCTGGACATCAAAAGAAGCCCCCTTAGTAACGACAATCATCTGATCAACTTCGACATTCGTTTACCTTTGGTGGAGATCGATATCAAGACATCTCTATCCTGTACTACTCTTTACGATTTATCAATTAAAACCGCCCAACCATTTATTCAATCTGTCTCGTCTTCTTTCATCGAATACAACATTGATGTCAGAAGTGTTTAAAAAAAAAATCTACGTGCAAAAAGGATTTTTAAAAAAGGGGAAGAAGTGAACCTGAATATGCAGCTGTCAAACCCTCCATTGCCCTATTTTGAATTTCCTGTCACTGACCTTTTTGAATTATTGGAGGAATCAAATTAATTGTAGCTTTAAAATCAATCCCAGTTAAGGGTGAATAATTTTTCTTTTTTTCTTTTGAATAATTATGGCGGGGAGAGGGAGACGCAGGCGAGTCAATTTGGAGGAGCGTCCTGGTCCTTTTCCTGCCGGATTTCGCCCACATGTGCCGTCTCATAAAGAGCTGTAACAACAAAACCCTGCTTCACTTCAACTTGAAGAGTTGAAAAATCGTATCTGGAATGAATTTCGGGACCAACTGCGGGACGTAGTTACAGACGTCAGGGAAACGCTTCGTCAACAGAGAGAAGAGGATCGATGAGCCGCCCGAATAAATAATTTCAATGTGTTGCGGAATCTCCCAGACAATCCAGTTGCTCCAAATGAACCAGAGCTTCCCCAGAACTTTCAGCAACAGCTTCCAAGGAATTCAGTAGCTCCAAACAATGCAGAGATTCCCCAGATGCTGCAACAATAGCCTGCAGGGATTCCAGTCGCTCCAAATGATCCGGAGCTTCCCCAGAACCTTCAGCAACAGCCTCCAAGGAATCCAGTAGCTTCAAAGAATGCAGAGATTCTCCAGAACCTGCAACAACAACCTTCAAGGAATCCAGTTGCTCCAAACGATCCTGAAAATTGCCAGAACCTCCAACAACACGCCCCAAGAAATCTAATTACTCCAAATATCCCTGAGATCCACCAGAACCTTCAATATCAACACACAAGGAATTCAACAACTCAAACGTTCCAGGACCTTCAAACGTTCTCCAAGGTCCTCCAGTGTACCTAAATGTTCCTCCAGCTTTCTCCATACATCCTGAACCGTATCAACCTCTTCCAGTATATCGTAAGTATCTCAGTCAGCGCCATGGATCCAAATACCATCATACCCACCACCGAGGAATCCATCAGAAACCCAACAAAATTATTTTTCTTCTGACCCTAATACTTTTTCTCATTCTAGTTCTAATACTCAAACAAATCTTACTGCTAATACTTCTGGTCCACTTAATCAGGACAAAAATGCTCATATTAAACCACATACTTAGGATGGTTCTGAACTCTGATGTCATTACCATCTTCAATTCGAAATTGGTGCCACACAGAATCATTGGTCGGAACAGACCAAAACTACCCAATTATTGACTCGTCTTCGCGGTAAAGCTCGTTTGTTTTTGAGTAAATTATCAGAAGAAGTTAAGAAAGATTACAACAAAATTACATGTATTGGCTGACAAATTTGATGAGAAACATCTCACTCGGATGTACTACAATGAATTACAATCCAGGAAACAGAAGAAAGGCGAAAGTTATGTGACTTACTCAGAAGAAATTGATCGACTCAGCCGTTTGGCTTATTTAAGTTCTTCTGAGGAAGAACGTGATCGTGCTGCTTGTCGAGCATTCATTGATGGAATTAATAATCCCCAAATGGAATCGACCTTGCGATCTGAAGACCATGAAAATTTTCAACGTGCGATTGAGAGGGCAACTGAACTAAATTCAATTTCTCATTGTGTAATTAACAAACGACAGTTTCCAAATTCGTAACATTCTCGATTCCAAAACAATTATCGTGATTTCTTATAAAATCGTGACAAACAGAACAGATTTTCTAACTAAGAAGTTAAAATTCAGTGCTTCAAATGTAAACACTTTGGCCATTATGCCAAACAATGCACAGCATCTGACAATCCTTTCAATCAGATAATTCCTCTCAACAATTCAACCAAAATCGTAGCAATCATCATCCCTATCGTCATTTTAACAATGGCAATGAGAATTTCAAATCGAAATTTCCAAATTCTGAATTCTCAAATAACAACAAAACATATCAGCCAAATCAGCCAACACTCACACAAATTCGGAAAACTAATAAGAGTCAATTCGTTGAGTGATGAATTGACTCAATCAATTTTTGATATTTCTCGATGTTTTCCGGTGAAGAATGAAGTTCACGAACCAATTCTCAATTTAGAATTGAAAGGAAAAATTAATGATCATTCGTGTCCCGTGACCATTGATACAGCTGCTGATATAACTTTGATTAATCCCAAGATTTTTAATAATAATCTAACAGGATTGAAGGATTCCACCAAACGCATCATTATCATAACCGTTTCTGGTGAAAAATTTCCTCATCGAGCTACCAACGAAGTAACCATTTCCACTGATAATTCAACTACCGTTCTTGACGCAGCTTTTGCTAATATTAGAGACGATTGTATTCTAGGATTATATTTTCTCTATAAATCGGGTCTTTTGGAGGATTTCCAATCGATTGTCAATAGGAAATTCGATATCAACAATCCTCGAAAGATGATTTCTGTTAGACAAATTGTTTCCCAGAAGATCCCTGAATTTTCCTCGAATATCCCTGAATTTTTATCTCCACTATGTGAAAATTCATGTGATTTATTGAAGGAAAAACAAGGAGAAAGATTCAGGACCTGCCTTCTAAAATATCAAGAACGTTTTTCTGCCCATTCTAATGATTTAGGTAGATATCCGGGAATCACACACCTAATCGATACTGGGAACTCTCGTCCCATCAAACAAAATCCCAGTAGAGTTTCATTTCATTATCGTGATAAAGTTCTAGATTTACTTGAGGAAATGAGAGAACAACAGATTATTGAACCCAGTCATAGCCCTTGGGCTTCTCCTGTGGTTCTAGTGAAGAAAAAAGATAATTCCCTCCGTTTTTACGTTGATTATCGTCCACTTAACCACGTCACAAAGAAGGATTCAATGCCTTTACCTCTCGATGAAGAAATATTTGATGCAAGCTTCGGATCCGTTTGGTTCTCGACAATCGACTTAAAAAATGGATACTGGCAAGTCGTTTAACATCCTCGAGATAAAGAAAAAACGGCCTTCGTCATCAATAATAAATTATGACAATTTAAAATTCTCCCTTTCGGTCTTTGTAATGCCCCTGCAACCTTTGTCAGAATAATGAGTGAAGTTTTACAAGGTTTAACCAAAAAGATTTGTCGCGTATTTTTGAACGACCTTATTGTCTTCGGTCGAAATTTTGATGAGCACCTACATAATCTTGAACTCGTTTTTTCACGTTTAGCTGCTGCTGACCTCAAAGTATACGAAGAATACAAAGAAATGTATTTTCTTTAAACATGAAGTTCTCTAGTTGGGTCACATCATTTCTAAAGACGGTATCACATGTTCTCCAGAAAAAATCGCGTGTATCACTGATTGGCCGACTCCCAGAACGAAACGACAGGTTAGAAGCTTCCTCGGTCTACGTTCCTATTACAGGAAATACGTGAAAGGTTTTGCTAATATTGCAAAACCGTTACACGCTTTAACAAAGGATAAACTTCCTTTCCGTTGGACTACAGAAACTCAAGCTAGCTTTGACCAACTGAAATCCATTCTAATATCTCCACTCATTCGATCTGTTCCAATTCCTAATTCTGACTTCATTCTGAATACTGATGCATCACAATTTGCCATCGGCGCTACCCTCTCACAAATCCAGAATGATGAAGGAAAAATAATTGCTTATTTCAACAAATGTTTAAACAAATCTCAACGGAATTATTGCGTTACTCGAAAGGAACTTTTGGCAGCAGATTCATCTGTCGAACATTTCAGTCATTATCTCCTCGGTAGGAAATTCCTCATGAGGACTGATCACGCAGCTTTACAATGGCTTCTTTCTTTCAAAAATCCACAGGACTAAGTAGCTCGTTGGATTAAGATCCTATTCGCTTACGATTTTGAAATAACTCACAGACCTGGTCATCTTCACGGTAATGCGGATGGTTTATCCAGACGTCCTTGTTCATGTTGTAAATACGACAGACTTAATCCTCGAGATGAAGAAGAAGAGAAAGGTGTTTGTCGTACGATTTGCATCCCTGACGATGATCACGATTGGGCGAAATTACAGGCTCTAGATCCAACTCTTAACACATTGATCGAATACAAAAAGCAGAATCAACATCCTGATTGGCATGAAATCTCTTATCTCGGTCCCGACATCAAACTTTATCTCTTATATTGGGATTCTTTTAGAGTTGAGAGGGAATATTCTCTATCGACGATAGGAATCAAATGATGAATCAAAAATTATCCTTCAGGTCATTGTTCCGCATTCATCCACGAAGGACATTCTCCGGATTGCTCATTTTTCTCCTCTTGGTGCTCATTTCAAAGTCAACAAGAGGTTGGATAACATTCGAAAACGTTTTTATTGGGTATCATGCAAATCTGATGTCGAGAATTGGTGCCGCAAATGTCCCATTTGTTTCACCAGAGATGGTCCGTTACACCAAGTCAAAGGAGAATTACAAATCTGCAACGTTGGTTTTCTTTTCGAAAGGATTGCAGTTGACATTCTCA